GGCCACCGCGGAGCACCCCTCGCTGCGAGGGCTCGCCGAAAAGGCCCCAAATAACCTGTCTCTATATATCGTTCAAGGTGGGCTTAGCACGGAGCCCAACGATTCTCACTCGTCGTCCCTCTCGGATGTGTCCGTCCTGCGACACCGCGTCCGCGATGCCATTTGTGGCGACAGGCGGCTGCTATTGAGGGGCGAAGGGCGAGACGGCACCACCAATGCCCTGCCCAGGGGTAGCAGAAAAGGCCTCACCTCCATGGCCCTGCACAGGGGCAATCGAAGAAACTGCATAATCGAGGCCCTGCTGAGGGGCAATCCAGGATACTGCATCACCAAGGCCTCGTTCAGGGGCAATCTACGGCTCTGCATCACCAATGCCCTTCTCAGTGGCATTCAAAGAGACTACAACACCATGACCCAATTCCTCCACCTCTTCCTGGTCTCCTCCTCCTTCCTCTTCTGCCCTCCTCCCTCCTCCTCACCTCCCCCCTCCCTCCTCCTTCCTTACTGCCCTCCTCCTCTCTCCCTCTACTCCCCCTCTGGCGCTTCCTTCTGCGCGCGCCCCCGTCGCCCATCGCTGACCGCACATCCGCGCGTGCCGCGCCCGAGGCGGTCTGGCAAGACAGGCCCGCCCGCCAGGGGTGGAGCAGGAGGAGGAGAGAGACTGAGCTGACCCTGAGCTCCCAGCGTAGCTGAGCTTATCCGACGGTTGTCTCACCGCTGGACACCTCTGGCGGCGCCTCGGGCGCCACCCCTGCTGCGCTCCCCGCGGCAGGGAGGGGGGTTCATTTCAGATCCAAGAATTCCGCGCGGGCCCTCGACAACTTATGTGTGCGTCGTGCTTCCTCTACTAATTAAAGGAGCCTGCCAAGAAGCTGGATACACGTGGCGCGGTCAGCTTGGGCGAGAGCTGGACACACATATGGGCAGGTGTGTCTCCAGTGCCTAGCACTGCTATCGCTGGACATTCGGGCCCTCCGCGTGTGCATCCAGGCGCGTAGGCTTCCGATGTGCACCCGTGAATCCAGCACGGTGTGTGTGTGGTGTGTGTGTGTGGGTGTGTGTGTGTGCGTGTTCCAACATCCAGCCGTGCGCGCGCGCGCGCGTGTGTGTGTGTGTGTCGTGTGTGTATGTGTGTATGCGTGTGTGCGTTTGTGTGCGTCTTTTAATGCGTGTGTGCGTTTGTGTGCGTTATTTTGTGTGTGTGTGTGTTCCAACTTCCTGGTGAATTCTAGGTCACGAAGTGGCCTGGCCTCGCTGCAGGGGGTGGCAACCCGAACGTTCACAGGGCATTCGGATCGTCTGCTCCATGTTCGGGCGGGTGGCAATGGGGGGTGGCCCAAATAGGGGGTGAAGAAAAGGGGAAGAAAAGGGAAGGGCCCTAGAGGGCACTTTCGGGCCCGTTTTGGAGCCCGCAGGGGCGCAGAAGTGTCCCTCAAGTGCTCCTTTGGGGCCCTTGTCTTCACCCCCCATGTGGGCCGCCCCCCCAAAACGGCACCAAGAGGGCCCCGAGACTGCCCAAGAGGCCTCCAAAACGCCCAAGAAAGCCTCGAAGACGGCCCTGCAGCACCCCAAGAGGGCCTCAAGTTGGCCCAGAGAGGCCCCCAGGAGGCGTCAGACGGGCCGGGAGCACCAAGACGGCCAAAGAGGCCCCCGAGAAGCCCCCCTCACCACCCCCGCCCGACATGCTCGCGCCGCTCGCGCGTGCTCCCGCCCTCCGAATCGGTGGGCGCGCGGGGGGGAACAGCGGGCTCTGCCGCCCGGCCCCTCTCCTGCAGGGGAAGGCGCGTCCAGGAGTGCCCATTCGAGAATTTCTCACGGTCAGGAGCGTTTGCTTGGCGTGCCGCGCCGCCAGTTCTGGCCCGCCATGCCCCGGCGCGACACGCCACTCACGTCCCGACCCCCGAGCGTCCGCGCCGCGAGCCTTTCGAAGCCTCCCGCCCCTGCGGAGCGGAGCGACATGCCATCCGCTTGCAGAGCACACCGTGTCGCCGGGGGCGCCGCCACGGCACGCCTAGCACAGGTTCCTGGCAGTATTCTGGGTGGCGCCCCGTGCGTCCCCTGGGCACGCGCTGCAATCAGTGTGGAGCGGCGTCGGCATGGCTCCAGCTTGGGTGTGTGCCGTGTGCGTGCGTGTGTGCGTGCCGTGTGCGTGCGTGCGTGTGCGTGCGTGCGTGTGTGTGTGTGTGTGTGTGTGTGTGTGTGTGTGTGTGTGTGTGTGTGTGTGTGTGTGTGTGTGTGTGTGTGTGTGTGTGTGTGTGTGTGTGTGTGTGTGTGTGTGTGTGTATGGTTTTTTCCCCGACCTGGCGGAGGGGTTCCCGTTTAGTGTTCCCCTGGGGGGGTCTGGGGGGGACCCCCCGGGACAGGGCCCCGGCCACGGGCGGAACGCCGGCGGAAGACGGCAGAACACCGGCAGGACGCGGCAGGACGCGGCAGGACACTGCACCATTTCTGCAGCCGCGCTTCCGGGAAGCACGAACGGCCCCAAGATGGTCAACAAGATGGTTCAAGAAGGCCTCGAGTCGCCGAAAGATCGGCCCCAGACGCCCGAGATGGCGTCCCGCAGGCCCAGGGAGCCCCCAAGACGCCCCGAGAGGCCTCCATGAGGCTTTCCAGGAGAGCCCGAAGCGTCAAAAATCATAAGTGTTCCTTAGGTTTTTGAAGGGTTTCGGGGTTTTCGCCTTTGCGGCTTTCCGCCGCTCCGACACGGCCCAAGAGGCCCCAAAGATCGCCCCAACAGAGCCTCAGAGACCCCAAGCGAGCGCTCAGACGGCCCAAGATGTCCTGAAGACGACCCACGAGGCCTCCAATACGGCCTCACAAGCGCGCCAGGCAGGCCCCAACAGAGCCCCTGGAGCGGAGGCAGAGGCCCATTTCTCAAGTTCTCAGCCCCAACAACCCCTCCAGAGGCCCCCAGAGGCTCCCAAGACGCCCCCAAGAGGCCCCAATAAGCCCCGAGGAGGCCTGAAGAGGCCCCCAAGCACCCCCCAAAAGGCCCCAAGAACCCTCCAGATGCCTCCACCAAGCGCCCAGAAGCGCCCAAGATGGACCCAGGACTGCCCCGACAGAGCCCCAGGACGGCGGGAGGCGCCTCCACAAAGCCTCACAGCGTCGAACGGACAACACGGAAACCTAATCAGACCCCAAGAGGCCCCCGAGAACACCCAAGAGGCCTCCAGACCTGAAGACGCCTCCAGGAAGCCCCCAGAAGCACCCAAGAGGGCCCCAGGACTGCCCCAAGACCACAGAACTGCTCCAAGCGCCTCGACAAAGCGTCAGAGCAACAAACGGACAGCCCCGGGACTCCCTCAGGAGTGCCCCAGGACGGCTGAAGGACCCGACGGGGCCCCGAAGAGGCCCCCAAGAAGACCCCACGAGGCCACATGACCCCACGACGCCTACAGCAAGCCCCTATAAGCGCCCAAGAGGGCCCCAGGATTGCCCCAAGACCCCAGGACTGCTGGAAACGCTTCGACAAAGCGTCACAGCGACAAACGGACAGTCCCAGGACTTCCTCGACCCCACGACGCCTACAGCAAGCCCCTATGAGCGCCCAAGAGGAGGAGGAGGAGGAGGAGGAGGAGGAGGAGGAGGAGGAGGAGAGGAGGAGGAGGAGGAGGAGGAGGAGGAGAGGAGGAGGAGGAGGAGGAGGAGGAGAGGAGGAGGAGGAGGAGGAGGAGGGAGGAGGAGTAGGAGGAGGAGGGAGGAGGAGGAGGAGGAGGAGGAGGAGAGGAGGAGGAGGAGGAGGAGGAGGAGGAGGAGGAGGAGGAGGAGGAGGAGGAGGAGGAGGAGAGGAGGAGGAGGAGGAGGAGGAGGGAGGAGGAGGAGGAGGAGGAGGAGGAGGAGGAGGAGGAGGAGGAGGAGGAGGAGGAGGAGGAGGAGGGAGGAGGAGGAGGAGGAGGAGAGGAGGAGGAGGAGGAGGAGGAGGAGGAGAGGAGGAGGAGGAGAGGGGAGGAGGGAGGAGGAGGAGGAGGAGGAGGAGGAGGAGGAGGAGGAGGAGGGGCGACGGAGGCGTCCCTCCTCCCCCCGCACCTCCCTTCCCGCCCTCCCTGCCTCCCCGTCTCTCGGTTGCGCCCGCGGCCCCGGCGCCGGGCCCAGCTTCGGGGCAAGAGGCCACGAGGGCCAGGCGTGCGAGGGCCGCGAGGGTCACCAGGGCCACGGGGGAAGATTCAAACAGTCTGGGGACGGTCTTTCCATTATTCCCCGACCTGACGGAGGGTTTCCCGTTGTGTGTCCCCCTATATAGGGGGGTCTGGGGGGGGACCCCCCGGGACAGGGCCCCGGACACGCGCAGAACGCCGGCGGAAGACGGCCGTATTTCTGCAGACGCGCTTCCGGGAGGCACGGGCGGCTCCAAGAGAGTCCGCAAGATGACCCACGAGGGTAACGAGTCGCCGACTGAGCGGTCAAGACAGCCCAAGATGGGCCCAAGATGGCCCAAGAGGCCGCCAAGACGCCCCAAGAGGCCTCCAATTAGCCGCCCAAGAGAGCCCCAAGAGGTGAAAATCAACAATCGTACGAAGGTTTCTGAAGGATTTTGGACTTCGCGCCTTTTCGGCTTTCCCACGCTCCAAGACGGCCCACGAAGCCTCCAAGACTGCCCCAAGACGGCCCAAGAGGGACCCAAGACTGCCCAAGAGGGCCCCAAGACGGCCTAAGAAACGCCCAAGACGGTCCAAGAGGGCCCCAAGACGGCACCAAGAGTCTGAATTGAAGGGCACCCTGGAGCCCTGCTCGTCACTATCGTCTGTGACGTAAGTATTGAGAAAGAAATGAAGACTGTGATGCGAACCCTTTTCGCTATGAGTGTCGGCGGCGCGCTGGCCCGCGCCGTCCTGAGGCCGTACCCCGCCTGCAATATGAAACCCACCCGCCCACTGCCGAGCCAAACAGGCTGCAGGGACGGGAGACTCGAGCAGACCCCTCACGAAATGTCTCGCATGAACATCCTCGAAATCAGACAGGGGGAAAAGAAATCTGCTCGAGCTCGGAGGACGTGGCACCTGCCGTGGCCACGTCGCGAGCCGGGGGCTGGACCCGCCTCCGGCCTTCCAGGATATTCCTGGCCTCGCTGTGGTCGGTCTCAGTCGTCTCGTCGAAGATCCCTTTACCAAGGGCAGACCGTTTGCGAGCCGAAAGAAACCTCTCATCGTGAACGATCTTCCACCGCTGGCTCTTCAGGAAAGCATGGAGCACATTGAAGGCCTGCTGGCTGGCGTTGGTCATGCCATCGGCCAGCTGGGCATGGCTATGTACCCAGCGCACGATCGTCTCGCCCTCCTCGAGGGCCCGTCGCAAGGCGAGCGCCTCTATGGCCGTCCTCCTCTCGTCGAGGCCCAAGCCGGCCGACTCAGACTTCACCACCCCGTCGTAGAACGCCTTGCAATCCGTCACGAGAGCTCCTGGAATGTGATGCAGAGCAGCAGCGCGATTCTGGAAGTCGACCGACCCGAAGAGCACCTCGTAGAGCACCAGGCGAACCATCATCTGCTCACCCTCCGCATCGCTGGCCTCCTGGATCTCCGCAGACAGGCTGGACCTGGCAACCCGCTTGAGCTTGCGAGATCCCCAGTCTAAGACAGTGAAGTCGCATGCCTCCTGAAATGGTCCTTCTGCCGAACTGAGAGCTGTAACGTGACCTCCTTGGGAATGTCCATCAGGTCGGCTGGCCCAAGCAGCGTCGCACCAGGTGTAGATGCGAAAATCGGAGCCACCTCGTCCGCATCCTGGCAGTTGGTGGCGAAAGATCTGAATGCCGTCAGTCCGATTGGCTTTGACCATCTTGATGATGTTTTCGCTATCGAAAAGAGCTTGTAGTCACCATTGGGTATCTTGCTTTGAACATCTGCAACCCATGCTGGAACCCAGGGAAGTGCATTGACTCCGAGCCAAGAGAGAGCTCCACACCAAGTTCTTAAGGTACTCTGGTCCGCCTCGGTCAGTCGGTCGCTGCCCTTGGCCTTCGGGTACTTTGGAAAGATCTCCTTCAGCTTGTCAATGTAGCCCTGCTGGTGTTGGAAGAAACCCTTCTCGTTCTTCTCGATCGTCACGCCACACTGCTCGATGGAGTCGATCCCGTCGTCCATGTCCTCCCAGGTGCCCCACGTGTAAAGGTCCTTGATGCTCTTCAGCGCCTTCCGCCATGCAGGATGATCTCGGTCATCGCAGAGGATGAAGTCATCCACGTGGCACATGATGAGCCCCAGCAGCGCCTTGGTCTCAGGACAGCGTAGACTCCACAGGCATGGTTCGAGATCGCACGCCTGCAATCCCAGCATGGCGAAGTCCTGCTTCACCGTCTGCCACCATTTGCGAGGAGCCTCGCCGATACCGTAGCCCGGCTTCACCACGCGTAGCACTTGACCAGGTTGAACGCCAAACTCGGCGGACAGCGCCTCGTCGGCTTCCACGAAGAGATCCTTCTTCGGGTCGTTCGCCTGCAGGAACGCGCTGGTCACGTCGCCCTCGACGATGGTCCAGGAGTTGGCGGCCGCGACCGTGAGGAGCAGATTCCGAGCGCGGCGCGAGGCCGTTGGTGACGCGGTCGGCTCCTGTCCGATGTCCTTGGTCTGGTAGCCGAGGAGGACGAGGCGCGCCTTTGCGGTCCCATCGCTCTTGCGCGTCAGCACCCAGCGGCACCTGATCACGTCCGCAGGATCCTTTACCTCGGAGACGGGTACGCGGCGGAGACCTTTGCACTGCTTCCAGTTGGCGACCTCCTTCATCATGGCCTTGCGGAACTCCGTCTTCTCGGAGGGGGAAAGCTTTCCCCAGTGAAACTCTATCTTATCTTTCCGCTTCTGGTTGGCAACGAAGCAGTCCAACATCTGAGAGGTGAGACGACGCCCGCCCTGACTGTCCGCAAGTTCGGACTTGACCATCTCGTAGTAGACCGTCATGTTCTCGTCGATCAGCTCGAAGTCGGTGCCGCCCCGGTTCCCGTCGAAGGTGATCCGAGAGAAGAGCTCATCATCGTGGTCCTCGACTGTTGGATTGCCCTCAGAGTAGGGCCCAGGTCGGTCCTGTCGTCGTTCAGCAGGTGACTGTCGGTAGGTGGTCTCGTCGCCATTGGAGGACATGCGCCAGCGCCGATGAGGTAGGTCAGCAGGTGGGGCTGAGCTCACTCTGGACGGGGAACTTAACCGAGACTGCTTCGAGACAGGCTGCTCGATGGAGGAGATACTTGAAGGGGAAGGCGGAGACGATTCAGGTGGCGTCGGCTCACCGGCTGGTTCAGAACGTCCGTCCGAGGGATCAGGTGTAGCAGCCTCTTCGTCCATCCGATCGTCATGGTCCTCGGGTGACTCGGACGGCTGGATCGCCTGTGGTTCGAAGTTCTGGATGTGTGGTCGGCTCTCGTTGGTGAGGTCCTCGAACGTTCCGCGGCGGGCTACCTCCATCAAGTCGGACATGGTAGCCCCGCGTCCCTCCATGTTGTTGAGCTCCACGACCATTCGCTCGGCCTCCGTAGCTGGACGCAGTTGCTCAGGAGCACACCGAAGTAGAACATCGCCGTGCGAGATCCACACGACAGAAGTTGGGCGTGTCGAGCCTGCAAGTACCCGTTGTTCTTGAACTAAGACGCGCGCTGGACCATACCAGGTTGCCTTGACAGGACCACGGCCCTTCCGCCAGTAGTAGCAGTGCTCGCCGGTGTCCCAGCGAGTCGTCACGCGGCTGCGAGCATGTTCTGCATGTCGGCGTCGCTCTGAGTACTCCACCTGTATGAAGCTCTGACGTGCCAGAAGTCGCCTCTGCTCCTGGGACTCTCCGTGGCTGTCGTCCACGATGGCAAGGGGGTTGCCCGAGCCCCGATGGCCTCCAGTACCAAAGGCGTGTACGAAGGGTGAAGTTCCCGACCTTGTCAATATCGTTGATCGCATGCGTGACATGGCTGATGGCCTCGTCGATGTCGCAGTCGTGATTCTGTTTCCTGAACTTAGTAAGAGTCCGCCTGAACAACTGGATCCGGCGCTCAACTTGCCCATGAGCCAGTGCGCCTCGCCAGGAGCGATGAACATCTCGATCCCGCGCGTACTGCACCAGTTTTTGGTAAGTTCCGCTCGATGACAGCCCTCAGCGTCGCAGCGAATGAGGCGAGGAGCGCGGTAGTGATTCGTCCAGGATCTCCAGGTCTCGAGGAGGTCCGATGCTAATCGGTTGCCGGACCTCTGGGACTTGTCGCCGTGGTTGAAGATCTGCGTGAGTCCAGACCCCTCGTCAAGGTTCAGCGTGAACAGGTAGGTCGCTTCGTCAACAAGGTCGGTCCACTCGAGGCCGTCACTCCCCATCACTTCGAAGACCTCGGGAATGTCGATGCCAGCAGCTGTTCTGACGGCCTTCGGCAGCACCGAGGAGTCACAGGCATGGCACTTAAACTTCTTGGCCATCTTCAGAACCTGGATGCTCGCGCCCGAGTTCTTGAGAATCTTGAACATGGTGCGGACGCTGGGGTGACCCAGATTGCGATGAAGTCGGCTGAGGCGGTGCTCTATCTCCTGGGCCTCCTTGGTGCTCAGCGTGCCACCGTCCTTGGAGAGCTCCCTGAGGTCATCCTCGTCGAGCTCCTCGTCTGACACCTGCTGGTCCTCCATCTCCTGGTCGCCGTCTGCGTCGATGCCCTCAAAGATGCCGTCGTCAGTATCCTGGTCCGTCGCCAAGAGGGCTGATATTCCAGCTGTAGTACCACCTCCCGCACGCAGAGTGTGCTTCGCCCAGGCTTTGCACAACGCCTCGGGGTAGATCGCTGTAGCCACTCCCACCTTCCCCCCGATGATCTCACCGTGCTCGTGGTTGTCATGCCGACCAGGGCGATTACTGCAGCGTTTGCCGATGGCCTTCTGCAGCTCGGGGTCGGTAGAGCAGATCCTCCAGACCTTGGGCAAGAGGAGGCCGCTGTGGGGGCAGCGAAGGCCGTAAGCACAGCCAGCCACCAGCGTCTCGTAGGTCTGCTCCCTGATGCGCTTCAGGGCCTCCGAACGTCCCCAGCTATGGGATCTCTGCGGCTGTTCCAGGTCGATCTCGGTCCCACGGGATTGGAGCCCGACCGACATGATGGTCTCGCACCCAGCTTGTATTCGACGAGCCTGTTGCACCTTTTTACGTAGACGTTCGCGGTCCTCTGGGGTCTTCTGGTTCCAGTTCTGGAGTTGGCAGTCCGCGGTGCACGGAGGACTCATGACGATGCGTCGAGGCCGATGTTGACGAATCCACAGAGCGAGCCGTCGTACTCCCGTCTTCGTCGCCATGTCGAACCTGTTGTGTACCCCAGCTCGGAAGGCGGCTCCACCTAGGTCGATCACCGCCTGGGAGAGACGGGACTTCGGAGGCGTGCAGACCTCGAGCAAGTCGTAGCGGCCGTTGCGGGACAGGAAGTTGACGTCGTTGCCAATCTCCTTCGTGTAGTCCAGGTCGTACTGGTTGACAGCATTTTGCATGATGTCCAGGTCCTCGCTGGTCAGGGGCACTCGCGCCCCCTCTTGCTGGCCATCTCCTTCTCGGGTGAGTCGTCCAGCATCTCGAAGGATTCCGAGGACGGATCGTTCGCCAGTTGCTTCAGGGCCTTGGACAGCATCCGCCTCCACCTCATGTAGATCACCTCGGACATGCACAGCCAACTGACCTCGGGGCTCGCCGACCGGGGAATCGTGCACTCGGGGAGGCCTGCTTGTGGCTGGTCGTTCTTCCGACGAGGTGGACGGTAGTTCTGCGCGAAGTTCAGCGACGGGTACCCGGCCTCCTCCAGCAGACACTTGTGGGTCTGGCCTCCTGTGCACGAACACCCGTTCCGCTTGCGACCTGGTTGGCCGCAGCAGCCGCACCGCTGAAATCCCTGCGCCTTGGACTTGGCCGCCTGGACGAGGGTGGCGGTCGGATTCGCTCCAGCAGCATTCGTGGTTACATCCTTTGGAGGTACAGAAGCGAACTCGCCCTGGATGGCCCTGGCCTCGGACTGGATCTGAGCTGACGTCGACGCACTCGCCTTGGCTGTTGTCGGCAGCTTTGTCGTGACAGAAGTCATTCTGCGATCTCGCGGACGCTCCGCAGTAGGGGATGGCGGCGGTGGCACACCCGAAGGCGACGAGATGGTGCCACGGCGGCATGACATCCGCTGGATATGGAAGCGTAGATGAATATTGAGGATCTCCTCCTGATTGAACGCCCTTTCGAGCCGAAAGGGCTCGGTACGCATCAAAATCGTCAGGATCGGGCGGAGGCTCAGATTGCCGTGTCGGGAGTTTCGTACTCGTACTAGTCTGCGCTCTTGGAGATGTCTCGGTTTCTCTGATCGTTGCTCTCGAACTCTTGGTCCCCGAAGATGGTCCCCAAGATGCCCTCGTCGGAGATGCTGTTGGAGATCTCGAGAGGCTTGGGGGTGTAGGAGTAGGCCCAGGGGGTGCAGCTAGGACATCCTGACCCCTGTCGGCGTCTTCGAACTTCGGGAAGTCTGAGGATCTCTCGAGGGTGTGAGACTTTTCTGGAGTCTTCTTGGGCCCCCCCGATGGACTAGAGGAAAGAACTTTTCTCGGATCCACCAGGGGGTGCTGCCCCTAGCTCGAGGCCCCCGCGCCAGCCGCGGGCACCAGCGCCAGCACCGCCTCGTCCGCGGCCGCGGACGTCTTAGCCTCGTCCTCCAGGGCGTTGCACAGTGTGATCCCGACGATGTTCGGGAGGCTCTGGGGGACGTTCTGCCACCGCGCCGGAGTCGTCACGTTGATGGCCAGGTGACCACTGGGCATCTTCCGGCACTGGAAGACGTGATGTGAGATCTTCGGCAGCATCAGGTAGCCGTTCCCGCAGTCGATGAGGGCGTTGGTATGATCAGATCCCAGCACGTCCATGCCGATCAGCAGTGGCACCTCGTTGTCCATGATCGAGATCTCGATCTTCTCCTGGCCGTCGCCGAGAAAAATGGCACCCGTCATGGTGCCCATCGAGCTCTTGCGCCTGCCGTCGCCGAAAGTGAAGTACCGCGTCCGCTCCACCACGTCGAACAGTATGTTGTGCTTCTCCTCCATGTCGTAGATGAGGTGCTCGGCCATCGTCACACCGATGAGGCTCCTCGTGGCCCCGCAGTCGAGGATCGCCCAGATGCCGCACACGTCGTCCAAGAGGAGCACCAGGTCGCCGAGCTCTAGAAGCGCAAACGAGGTCATTTCGTTGGGCTGTGGCTTGCCGCGGTCCTTCGTCCTCTCGGGGCAGTCCTTCGCCTGGTGTCCGAACTTGCGGCAACCTAGACATCTCATCCTACGCCTGTCACGCGCAGGTTCTTGACCACCGTCCTGACGAGAGGATCGTTGACCATCTTGGCGAGAAGAGCGTTGGCCATCACGTAGTTGTCGAGGACGAGGGGGTCCCTCCGCCGATCGAGGAGCGAGCACGGGGTAGTATTCCCTCGCCACCTTGAGCTTCCTGATGAGGTCCCTCGCGTCCTTGAAGTTCCTGCTCAGCTGCCTGAACTCCGCGTAGATGCCGTCCTCGTAGTCGTCAGCATGCTCGGCGTCTTCGAAGAGGGTCGTGTCCTCCTCATCCGCTAAGTTCACCAGCTGGTCCACGATGTCCGCGATCTCGGACCTGTCCTCGAAGTCGTGGTCCTCCTGCTCGGCCTCCTCTGCCTCGCCGAACAACCCTGCGCGCCTGTCCTTCTTCTCGCGGACCCCGTCGATCTCCTTGAGCGCCTCCAGCGGGTACCTCGTGCACAGCGCCTTGTACGTCCTGCCGAAGTCGTAGTCGCCGCCCGCCGTCGCAGTGATCTCGGCCCTTGCCACGGGGCTCAGGCGCGAACGGCGGAGGTACCACCACGTCCTCAGAGGCGCTGCGATGACCTCCTCGACTGAGCTGTCCACCGCCTTAAGCTGTGACAAGAGGTCGCGCTCGTGCGCCTCCCAGCGCGCCGTCCAGTCGGGGAAGCCCTCACCCGGCTCCCGCTGGAGGAAGAACTTCTCAGCTGAGTTCCCCATCTCGTTCACATTGGACAGGTCGAGCTTCGACAAGAGGAAGTCGAAGACGCGTTGCCATCCTGTCATCTTACCCTCGTCGTTGACTTCGTCGATCTTGTCGATGTCTGGGCACGCCTGTGCCAGTCTGCGTGATCTTGCCCCTAGCGCTCTCACCAGCTGGGGTCCCACAACGTACCTGTCCTGCGTCTTATAGCTCTTGCTGAAGAGCCCAACGTCGAACTTGTATGCCAGCAGTCTGTCAGGCTCTCCGTCCCATGACGGGACGTCCAGTCGGAGTGCTGCTGAGCCGCCAGCAGCTCCTCCGGTCGTAGTCGCACCACTCGACATTGTCGCCGACGATCGTGATCGTCACAATGTAGACCGTGGTCGAAACTCTGCTCCGCTACCAATCTGAATTGAAGGGCACCCTGGAGCCCAGCTCGTCACTATCGTCTGTGACGTAAGTATTGAGAAAGAAATGAAGACTGTGATGCGAATCCTTTTCGCTATGAATGTCGGCGGCGCGCTGGCCCGCGCCGTCCTGAGGCGGTACCCCGCCTGCAATATGAAACCCACCCGCCCACTGCCGAGCCAAACAGGCTGCAGGGACGGGAGACTCGAGCAGACCCCTCACGAAATGTCTCGCATGATCATCCTCGAAATCAGAAAGAGGGGCCCAAGAGCGGGACCAGGAACCGACAATTCGAGCCTTCTGCCTCAAGAGAGCCCCAGGATACCCCAAGAGGCCCCCAAGAGGCCCCAAGAAGCGCCCAAGAGGCCCCCAAGAGGCCCCAATAGGCGTTAAAAAAACCAAATGATGCCCCAAAACTGCTCCCAAGAGGCTTCAAAACAGGCTCCCAGAAGCCCCCGAGAGACCAATCACCTATATACATATTTCTTCGTCGGACGTCTTCCCCGTCGTCGAATCAAGCCCACAACAGGCCACTCCTTCCTTGTCCCTGCCGCTCTCACCAATCATCCCCACCTCCATTTTCAGGTCGGGGTTCGTGGCAATATCAGGTTGGGCGCTGCACCTCGGCATTGCAGCGCCTCTCGTCTTTCACCACCAATCTGCATGGCCGTAGCTGGGCTCTTTCAACATGGCGTGTTCGACCAAGTTCGTTCTCAACTGGCACCTCCACCTGCTGGCCGCGCCTGAGGTCCCTCTGTGCCGCCGATTTTGAACAAGTGTGTGTGTGTGTGAGTGTGTGTGAGTGAGTGTGTGTGTGTGTGTGTGTGGTTTGTTTGTTTGCGTGTTTGTTTGTTGGTTGGTTGGTTGGTTGGTTGGTTGGTTGGTTTGTTGGTTCGTTTGTTTGTGTGTATGTGTTTGGGGGGGGGCGCTTCCGCGCACAAAAATAACACCTGGCGATGCCAAACGGACGAGATGAGATCGCCAGGGGGTCTTTGGGGACCGTCGCCTCCGCGGCCCCGAAAGCAGCCGAGCAGCAGCAACAGCAGCAGATTGTGCTACAGTGCTACGGCCTGCTTGAGTCTGACGTCGATTGGATGGTGGAGTTCGTGCGCCAGGCAGTACGACAACTCGATAATCCCGACAGGGATTGGGCTTCACCTGAAGATTGTTTCTCAGCCTATTCACGATCGTCTGCGTTGTGTTCACCGTCCTCGGGAGCACTAGCCAGTCTATTGTATTGTGGGGGTGGTCGTTAAGCAATGAGCGCTGGAGCCTCCAGACCCAGATGGGTTCCTTACATGATCAGGGCGGCGGTGATAACCATACGGCCAAAATTCAACCGACTCTGGAATCCTTCTCCAAGGGTTCAATGTCCAATGCCCTTGGCGTATTCCACCTCTCCTCCTCCTCCTCCTCCTCCTCCTCCTCCTCCTCCGCCTTCTTCTTCCTCCTCCTCCCTCTTCTTCCTCCAACCACGCAGTGCTTAACCTGGTCCCTGGGATCCTCCCAGTTCATCCTGGATGTCTTTCCCACCGCCCGGGGATCCGAAACAGGCCCTGCAGGCCAACATCGACGCACAAGCTCTGGCGCGATCTGTTCAGTTATCCTCCTCCCTTTCCTCCTTCTCCTCCTCCTCATTCTTCGTCGTCGTCGTCCTCCTTGTCCTCCTCCTCCTCCTCCTCCTCCTCCTCCTGACTCCTCCTCCTCCTCCTCCTCCTCCTCCTCCCTATCTCTTCTCATCCTGCTCCTCCTCCCCTTTCCCCCTCCTCTCCTGCTTCTCATCCTGCCGCTGCTGCTCCCCCAAGAGCTTCGCGATCCTCCTACTCCGGGTCCTCCTCGTCCTCCTCCGCCACTTCTCCTTGGAAGCAGGCTCCCCACGCGTCGCGTCGTCAGGCGTGCCGGCAGGGAGGGCGCAGAGATTCGCCCGAGACTGCCTCACCATACGTTAGCCCTGCAGCTTAAGATCTCTGCTGCAGCTTCACGGATGGAGGGCGGGCCGTTTTCAACGCGTGGTTCTCGCCCCAGCGCCGCGCGCATTCGTCTCAAGAGCTTGCAGGAGCTTCGAGGATGGCATGTTCTCATCAACGTGCGGCTCTGGTCTCTGCGCCGTGCGCATGTGTCTTACAGGGTTGCAAGAGCTTCAAGGATTGAGGGTGGGCCGTTTTCAAGAGGTGGCTCTCGCCTTAGCGCCGCGCGCATTCGTTCTCAACACCTGCAACAATTCCAAGGATGGATGGCGGTTCCTGTTTCAAGATATGGCAGTCGCCTGTGCGCCGCGCACATGCGTCGTACAAACTTGCAACGACTTCAAGGATGGAAGGCGTTTCTTTATCAACATGTGGCTCCCGCATTCGCGCCGCGCACATTCGTTGAAAAACGTGCGCAGCAGTTTTAAGGACTCGTATGGTTCAAGTCCCTGGAATGCAATTATACTGCGATCTGGGACTGTCAGGGCGCAACGCTATAGTTGTTTCGCGGTGTTGATGTCCCAGGAGAGTGGAGTTCCGGCACGATTTGGGATTGTCAGGGCGTGAGACAACAGTCACGTTGATTCGTGGCGTTGAAGTCCTCAGGAACGGTGTTTCGGCACGATGCCGTTTGCTCAGACTGTTGTCCTCCAATAGGGCACAT